CCAAAACACTTCAACAGTCTTTTAACTTCTCAACTTTCTTTCTTTTTTCTTTCTTTACTTACTTTACTTGTACTTTGGGTAGTTATTTAGAGTAGTATAACTTTGCTAGAGTAAATAGAGACCTTTACCACCCTACTATTCGTTGACCGCAGTTTTTACAGATTTCCGGGGCTATGCACCTAGTCGGAGCATGGTAATTCCAGCAGTTGGTACACTAGGTGATTTTTGGCGCCTTAGTTAGCTTGAAAGAGAAGGCGCTCGTGCCTAGGAGCCGGAAGTTTCCCAGTACTAGTTCAGAGAAGGAGATAACAAGCGTTACAGTACGAGAGTCAGTGAGCGTGTCAGCTTTGGAGATATGCCAGGCAATGGGGGTTTGCTGTGTTTAACGCTGGATCTCATCAGAGACTACTTGGTTAAAGTCGAGGGGAGCACCTTCCTAATCTGTCAGTGTGCGAGGGAAGTCTTTAACCAGGTAGGTGTGCCATTGCATATTCTTTTCAGCAATACTCAAGTTAAACTTTGGTCCCTAGCTCCCTTGGGTAGAGAGGAGAGTCTCTTCGGCTTTAAGAGTCCGCGCAGTGAGAACCCAGCCGGTGTTCGTTGGTTTGATGTCTTGGATATCCTTGGGATCGATAGATGCAGCCTGTGCGAGCGCAAGGCGGATTTGGTAGCCGTGTTTATTGAAGAGTTCAGAACCACGTTTAATACGGAGAAGGATACGCTTATCGAGTTTAGCAGGTTGTGTTCGGGGTGTATTGTTAATGCGAGCGGCTTTATGGACTTCGATATCGCCGGGCCGTTTTCCGTCAGCAGCAGTGGCACGGGCAGCCCAGCCGCCGGCCGGAGCGGGGAGAAATCCCGCGCAATCTGCTGAGTATAGCCTTTGGTGTATTGTTTGGCGCAGTCGTTGATCACGGTCGCAAAGGTTCTCAGAACTTCAGTACGCGTCTGAAGGCAGTCTATTTCTTTCGTGAGAACGCTTTCGGTATGTTGTTCGATGTCAATTGGGCCAGGATTGTCTAGTTCGTCCGCCAGGTTGTGGTATATGTTCGATGTGTAGTCTGGGCGGTTTCGTTTGGGGCTTCGTCCTCGGTACGGAAGGGGTCCTGGAAGCATTGGCCTGCTACTAGGCAGGAACGGCTGGTGAGTTGTCGCAACTCTTTCTTGAATCAATGCCGCTTGGGCTTTGCTGATTGGAATTGTGTTCGTGGCAGCCGCGGGTTTGGTGACCTCGGGGGTGACGAGATCAATCACCATACCTTTGGCAGCACACTAGGTGCGATAAACGAGTTTTTGGGTGTCTTTTAGGTTCGATCCGAGTATATTATCTACCTAATTCTACAAAAGCTAAGTTTGGCCCTGTAGATGTAGATGATAGAACTGCAACTTGTTACGAGGCGTAGTGGTATCGGGTAGGACGACGGACACGCTCAATGAGCCAACCTAGGTGGCGTATCTCAAACAGTAACATTCCAGGTACAGTGGCGGAGTTTGAAGAAACGCACACTAACCAAGCTTATAGCAACCAGTTTATAGGACCCTTATCCGCCAAAATAATTCTATGGTCGCTACAAAGCCCGCTCCATGCCACTAGCTACGCAGCTTTACGAATCTGCAGCTGAATAGCATAAAAAAAAAAAGCCAAATTTTGCGCAAGTGTATGGTAGACTGGTTCCACGCCAAGATGGTCACTCTCGGTGGCGTCTCGGCTATAGAGGACGGCTGTTTTTAATACGATCTGGCTGGTGGCGTAAGCATTGATCCTAACTGTGCTCTCAAATTATCTTACTCAATAAGTCTTTTCACTGCTATATACAATATTGATAAAATGTCTAGACTTTGATGTGGATGTACTGGAAGGTGCTCTTAGGAACAGTTCTGGTGGAATAGCCCTCCTTCTTTCCCCAGTTGTACTCTTCAATCTCGACCTTGTCTCCCTTGACAGCAGTGACCCAAGCAACGTGACCCTTTGATCCTGCATTTGTCTGAGCAATGGATCCAGGAACCGGTGTGTTATTAACAGTGACGTGGCTAGCCTTGGCAGCACCGGCCCATTCGTTGGCATTGCCCCAGCCCTTGCCATCGTAGTGGTTGGTGAACTTGATGCCTAGGCGTTTGTTGATGCGCCAGGCAACGAAGGAGGTGCACTGGCACTTGTAGAAGCTCCAGGGATCGACGTCGCCGCCACTGTGGCATTTGCCAGAGTAGGGGTAGTCGTTGGTGACAGGGCCTGGGATGGCGGCCCCAATGGCAGGAACAGCCGCAAAGACGGTGGCGGTAAGGATAGAAAATTTCATTTTTATAGTAAAGATAAGTAGTACAAGTGATATGCAAAACGAAACTATTTTTCTTTCAAGATATATTGGTGGTTTCTCACCCTCTATATATGGCTCGATGCCGTTGGAGTAAGCGGCGGTGCCTTCTCCGCCTGTAATTTCAGCTGTAATCTTACACGTGCTAGGAGTTCAGCTCCTGCGCATCCCATAACTACTTTGGTGTTCAGCCCGTAAGCAGAATCTCAGCTACAGCATTATATGTTTAAAATTTTAATCAACTACACTACCGAACCTTATTAAACTGGATTAGAAAACAAGGTCGAGGCTGCACGTCGGTGTCAGACGACTCGCGTATATTGTGGCGTAATTCCAGCTTTTCCAAAGAGGATACCGAAGGCTATCATGTAATAGAAAAAGGTCTAGAATATCATTCAGGTTAGACAGAAAAATCATTACCAGCTTAAAGACAATACGACAGATACCAATTGGAAGCCGGATCATGTAAATCTAGTGAAGAAAGGTTCAATGCTGCACAGTTACGGTAACCTTCGTACATTGGCAAGTGGGTATATCGCGTGGCGCATCTCACGATCCTTTCGACGATTTTGGCAGGAACAAGAGGGCTAAAAGATTCTATCTCCAAGCGGACTAATTTTTCAGGTTACGGAACTGGTTGGATATACAGTTTCAAGCTCCAGTAATTTCAGTGGCCTTTATAAGAAGTATATGGATTGTTATTGCGGCTCTGTAGCACGCGACATGGGATCTACTGCCTCACGCTATGACGATCACGAGTTGACTCTGCACGAACATTAAAAGGCTCCTATTAAATACGAAATGCAGGATTTATATTCTTTGAGTTAACAAAATCGAGAGATTCGAAATCATAAATAAGTTCAGTGATGAGAGACTCTGTCAAGATTAAACGCAGCGCTGATGAGTCCTAGGTGGCTGAATGCTTGAGGCGTATTACCCAATTGTTCGCCACTGCCCGAAATCTCCTCAGAGAACATGCGCAAGTGGTTTGAAAAGCTCAACATATTTTCAAAGATGTTGACCGCCTCAATTAGATACTTGGGCTCGTAGACACTGGCGCGTGTCATTGCTTCTACCAGCCAGAAGGTGCACATACTGAACGCGCCCTCTTTCCCGCCGACACCTACGTAAAGCGATAAAATTAGCAAGGTATAGAAAGAATACGTGTGAATAAAATGTACCATCATCAGAGATCTCTGTGTTATAACGGTACACTAATCCCGTACTAGTCAAACCGCCTTTCTCAGGTGGAAGTAGGATACGGTCCAGTGTGTTGGTAAACCGAGGATCACAAGGAGCGACAAAGAATACAAGGGGTGCAATTAAGATTGAAGCATCGAGAGCTGTATTGCTTTCATAGCTTTGAATAAAGCATTTCATCTCAGGGTTGTATCCTACAACATAATTAGTATATCACTGATTCGCAAACATAACAAGAGATTAGATGTACCTTTTTCCATAATCTCGTCATAGAGCTTATCGCGGGCTTCTAGCCATTTAGCACGATTGGGGCATGGCAGGCATCTTTTCTCAGCCAGACGGATGCCACGATCAAAGGCTACCCAGAGCATAATCTGCGAGTAAGTGAAGCGCTGTTTACGGTTTCGTACCTCCCAAATTGACATGTCGGGTTCTATATTAAATTAGAATTGTGTTTTACCATGAATGGCTTTTGTCTTGTTACACACCTCCTAAGATTGTCAAGACATAATCTGCATTATTCTGTTAGTAATTTCTGCATCCAAGATATCTTTGGGTATAGATACCTAGCATCCGTCGCACAGAGCACCACACATCATAGGAAACAGGTTTCCCGTATTTGTTGTAGAGATACACCGCATCCATTAGCTCGCCGTAGATGTCAAACTGTTGGTGGAATGCAGCTCCATTGCCGATGCGGACGGGACTGCTACCACGGTAGCCTTCAAGGTGATCAAGCGTAAGTTCGGGGATCTCAGTCTCACCGCGAATTGTAAACATAATAGGCAAGCCATAATCCGATACTCGAGAGTGCTCAAATCTCTCCATGATGAATTCCATGTATGCATCTGCCTCGGCTTTAAATCCCAAGCGAAGAAGAATGTAAACGGTGAAGCTGGAGTCACGAATCCATGAGTATCGGTAGTCCCAGTTCCTGTCACCTCCCAGATGCTCAGGGATAGAAAAGGTAGGCGATGCAATGATAGCACCAGTGGGTTCTAGACAAGATCAGAACTAGTCACAATCAGAGGGTAGTGGAACGCTTACCATACGTCATCATCTTCAAAATCATGAGACTCCTCTCTACAATCTCTCTCCAGCGACCGGTGTACTTAGATTGAGCAATAAAATTACGCCAAAAGGTCAGTGTATCGTGCTGCTTCATGTCGAGAACGGCAGATGTGATGACTTTTGTATTGTGGTGCTCAATGTCGTCACGCAACACAAAGGAGATGGCATGTCCTGCGTGTATCGTAACTCGAGCAACGAGCCCTTCACCGTGTAGGCCCGATTTCTTAACAGAGTGGAACGAAACGGTGGGAAGATGATTACTCTCTTTTGCATCTCCGTTGTCGATCACCATATCCAATTGAAGCTGCACATTTTTGCTGTGAAACGTTGCGACCTTACTCTCGGAGCTAGAAATATCGATATTCTTTCGAAAATTGGTTTCATGCGCTTCTGTCCCGTACTCAAACGAAGGGAATATCTCGACATCTAAGCGAAAAGCAATTTTGTAAGCCCATCAGCATGCTCCCATAGTTTACTGTGTACCATACCAAGAGTCATGGAGCCGCGCACGCATTCGACTCGTCTAACAAGCCACTTCTTCATCTCTTCTTCCACGTTGTCCGCTTGGTGGTAGGTACCTTTCTTAGTAACATGGGTACTTTTAGGCCGAGGGAAGAAGTCAATCAGATCCACGACGCCCCCTTCATGAATATACTTGGTCTGCAAGACACATGAAGAAGGTAGGTACTGCTGCTTTGTGGTGAAGACAGCATCTTCGGTGGGCGAAATACTAAAGTAGCCACCCTTGTTCTTGTCCAGTAGACGACAAAGGACAGACGGGGAGTCAAAGTCTGGCCTGTACTACTTCTTAGCTAGATGCTTTCCAATCTTATTGTAGTAGGGCAGTACGACTTGCCAACACATAAAATCGATACTGCCATCAATTCCTACCAAAGCACAAGTATGCATATTTCCGATCATGCCGTAATCTTCAATGGGGAGATATCCCCCCGCCTGGGAGCGACGAGACTTGCTGGCGGTCATCAGCGATACATGAGAGGCCATTCCTATGGTCGCCAAAGGTGATTAGCTAGTGACGGTGATGATGAAAATCGATGAAAGAAGTTCATGAAGCGATTATGGATAAGTTAGACAAATACAACTTCACTAGCTTTCGTCGCTTGAGATTGAAGGAAACCGTGCGAATTGGGGAATAGCAGGTAGAGCGGGAGCTACTTGAACCCCAGCCGGAATAGGAAGTGGCGCATTTGACAAATACACACCAAAAGTCGAGCGTAATATTATCGAAAATTAACAGCCTTTACAGCATCTAATAATAATATAATAATCTAATAATATGTTTGGTTTTTTTTTAGAATTATAAGAGTAACTAGATGCAAAAATTATAGATTATATTAAGAATAAAGCTACACCAAATACTTGTCTTGTATCAGTTAGAGAAACCACGCTACTTTAGAATCCAGAAAAAGTAGAGCCAATTAGAGCTCGACGAGGGCCATCCCAATCAACAAGCTTGTTCTAGTGTGCCGCTATTTGTTTTCAAGCGCCTTACTGTACCCCAGCGCATCATTTACCCCGCATTTTTACTACACGACAGCTACGCAACGGACATACAATAAACCTGTCGTAAGTTTCAACACATGTCCAGCTCCAATATGCAGTGCTTCCGAACACTAAACACACCAATGAAGACGACACAAACGTGGCATCATGGAACAATTGAGCATTCAAGATAAAGAAGATAAAGAGCAACAGAGAATTTCCCAGCTTTCTTCTGAATGCTGCGACGTTGCCCGCCATGGAGGCAAAATCGAAACTCTAAGAAATAACTTTTTCTTCTTGTCACACGCCAAAGATATAAACTTGAATGCAGAACCCGAAACAGGCAACAGTTTATTACCTATTGCTGCTGCAAATGCTCAGTTTGAAGTGATCAATTTTTTGAGAAATGCTAGTGGTAGGCGTTGCGGGAACGGCGAGGAGAAGCTACGAGCGCAATAGTGGGTATACCTCGCCCACGAGAACAACAAAGGAAACACGCCACTCCACGTTGCTGTTAGTCATCCGAATATCGACGTAACTCGTATCATCTATTGTTATATGTGGCCAGGCTAGTCCCCTGGTAACGAAGAGGATCCAGAAGAGTATCTTCACCTTGGGATGTGGGGAGAGGAGGAGGATGATGTGGTAGAGATGATTACGCTATTGTTTATAAAGAACAAAGCTGGGCGGGACGTAATAGCGCAGGCGCGGTTTCTCGGGCAGGAAGCGAATGCCGTTTGGTATGAAAAGGCATTAGCTACGATGGATCCTCATACAAAATGGCAGTCCGAGGAGACTATTGCTCGACTCACAAGTCGTCTGCGAGTAGAGTGTGGCAAAGCATCCCCTCACTAATACAACGTACCAGTTTGAGATGACTGGATCAGAAATTGGGAATCGATAAAATCATCAAGCTTATATTTTCAGCGCGAGTAGTATGGAATGTTACGATGTATCGCTATCTACATTGAACGCAACACAATCAGCTAACGATAGCAATTCATAGTCCCTGCTAGCTACAAACAGAGACTCCGGTTGTCCCTCAAGCAGCTAGATGGCCTTTTGCGGGCTTGCGGTATTTGGCTGGAAGATCAAAAGACGCTTGCAGCTCAATACAAGAATAACCAGAAAGGGAGTATTATTTATAACTATTCGGATATTACCGCTTGCTTTGGTTCGCTTATTAGAGTTAAGCGCCATTATTACTCAGCTTTTGCCACATAGTAAATCCCTTGATAATACTCTGGGGGGTTCGTGATATCCTCGTGATATATACGATCCAATCCCTTGCTCCAAGGCTTTTCTGTTTCTGTATCTCCATTGGAAAGTCAGTCATGATTCCCCCAACAAAACAGAATGATGCCGACGACACATTAACCCGTTTACTCCTCTAAAAAAGTTTGTAGCGTCTTCGCATACTTGGAGGCTGAAAAGTAAGCAACGGATGAAAAATAGCAATGGTGGAGTTGGGGCGTAGCTTGCAAAACATGACTTGGCGCATTGTCTCGCCTTTTTGGTGGCTCAGTCTGCCCAACAGCCCTCAAAATTCACCCACAATTGCTGTCTTTAATTTCGCGTATTATACTGCTTCCACGCGACTGGCCTACTGCTGGGCAATGGCGTTTTCGGCCCCTGCATAACGGTCTGTGCTGTCCCCACAAGGCGTCCGTAGCTTCTTCAGCTAATAGAAGATCGTCGCGAGACTGCCTAATACACCACTACGGTTGTATACAACAGCAGTATACGAGTTACGAGGCGGATAAACTTCACAGTGTGCTTCGTATCATAAAACTTTTGATGTATATAAATACAAAGCGGCTCTATCACCTGTTATGTCGAGGATTGCGATTGAAAATAGAACGCCGAAAACCTTCGTTTAATCTTCCAACTACGAGACACTCATTTATTCAGTCGCTCATTTTCTTCAATTTCAAAGATACTCTTTTATCTATATCACATTCCTTCTTTATCAACACCGATCATTTAGTTCATTATGCGTTCTACGCTAGTGAGTGTAGCTGCGGCTCTTCCAGCCGTCACCCAGGCTGCCCTATCTGCCCAAAATCTTGCCATTGTTGATGACAATCGCATGGTCCAGGTAGATGGCATCTTGAAGTTCCCCGTCACTGGAAATCACGGCGATATTCCTGAATATGTCCTCAACGGCCCAAGCAAGAGGCAAGATGGATCTGCCCTTGGAAACCAGTTGAGAGGAAACTTTTACACAATTCCTTTAAGTATCGGTACTCCAGGCAACAGAGTCGATGTCGTTTTTGACACGGGCTCCTGGGAACTTTGGGTTAACCCCATTTGCTCCAAGTCGCGCAACCCTGCCTTTTGCGCAAAGTTTGGTCGACTCACGGATAGCACGTCCATCCAGAACCTGAAAGCGCAAACCAACCTCACTTACGGTACTGGCTATGCCTTCATCGACTATTTCCAGGACACAATTGCAGTTGGCTCTGCAAGACTTTCAAAGCAAATCTTTGGTGTGGCCAAAGACAGTGCCTTCTGGGAAACGGGTATCATGGGAACTGGTCCCAGCCCCAGAGGATTCAATGACCCCAAGGCAGGCTACCTCTTTGTAGATACACTCGCCAAGGAAGGTATTACAAAAAGTCGTGCTTTTGGTTTGGATCTTGCCGGCATTGACTCTCAGCGTGGCAGTGTCGTGTTCGGTGGTGTTGACAAGAAGAAGTTCCGTGGAACCCTTGAGCGTCTTCCTATTGTCACAGCCGCCAACACTCCCGATGGCGCCGCTCGATACTGGGTCACTCTGGATGGCATCTCACTCTCCGCTGATGGTAAATCGACTCAGGTTGTCGGAAGTCAAACTGTCTTCTTGGACTCTGGCGCCCAGGTTGCAAACCTACCCCAGTCTGTTGTTGACCAAATCGTCAAGGTTTTCCCCGGCGCGAAGCTGGCACAGTACGGTCAGTATCAAGTCGCCTGTTCGCTTCGATCTTCAGCCAATACCCTCGACTTCAAATTTGGCAAAACTACCATCAAGGTTTCTTATAACGACTTCATCTACCAATACCCAGGATCCGACTATTGCTATCTCGGCGTCCAGGTTGCTTACGGCCAGATGTACAGTTTGGGTGACAGTTTCCTCCGATCTGCTTACGTTGTCTACGATCAAGACCACCAAGAGCTCTCCATTGCCCAGAGTGCTGACTGCGGAACTAACCTAGTCCCAATCGGGCCTGGTCCTGCTGGTCCTCTAGTGGGCGATTGCAACAAGCCCCCAGTGACCTCTTCCACAACATCCAGCGCTGTCGCTACTCAGTCCAGCGCCAGCTCCAGCACCAGTTTCTCCTCCTCGTCTCAGATGACTTCAAAGACCAACCCCTCTTCATCAGCTGCTACAAACAGCAAGTCTGAGAGCCAATCTAAGTCGCAAACTATTGCGTCCTCTAACACCAACGGCGCTACATCGACTTCTAAGCCAAGTGTCACCCACATCTTCACCAACAGCAGCACAATTGCTACGCAGACCACGGCATACCCTACTTACACTTCCACCTTTACCACTACTACAGTATATACCATCACATCCTGCCCCCCCGTCGTGACCAACTGTCCAATTGGCCATAAGACCACCGAAATTATCGAAGTGACAACTACTTGGTGCCCTGGAGAAAGCCTGACAAAGAACCCAGTCACCTCGACTGCCGTGGTCACTCCGATTGGGCCTTCTTCCCTCGGCTGCCATGGTAGCAACTGCCCCGTCGTTGGACCGCAGTCATCCAACTCTGTTGCACCTCTATTGCCAGGAGCTTCGAGCTCTGTCAATGTGCCACCCACCAGCGGGACATCGTCCGTACAAGTCTCCAACGAAGCCACAGGCTCTTACACGCCTAGCGCCCAGCCATCCGCATCTGTTCCTGTAACGGCCAGTGCTCCTCTAACATTCCAGGGTATGGGTTACACGCTACTTGGTGCAACGACCGTCACTATCTTAGCTATGATGCTTTAGATCTTTTAACCAGGCTTTTATTTCTTTATTCAATTTCAGAAGCTTAAATAGCAAAATATTAATGGTTTTTGTATTGGTGATTCCTTCTTCTGTTTCCACAGGTCTTCGGATGTGGCGGCGAATGCGATAGGACAAAATAGTGATAAATCCTTCAGTGTTCCCAATAGTGTGATATGGTCATATATTGCCACCATTTTATGTGATCATATCATATATAATATTGCCCAGTGGCTATCATATAATATATGATCTAGACTTAGTATATATGATATTGCTATAATATATTATTCTCATATGGCCATATTTTAATTGTTCTCTTATCGCGTATTTTTACATTCCAGAGAAGTACATTTGACGCGCGTGGTGCATTCCTTAGTCTTCATCATAGTTAGAGAAGCTATAAGCTGTAACGGTCTTAACTGAGTGTATTAACAACTAGCTAAAAGACTACTACAAGTATTCAAAGATGATGAAGAAAGGTTCTAAAAAGGGGGTAATTCTAGCTGTGGGAATTGCCTCTTATACGACTTACATAGGTTCCTGGTCGAGATACACCGAGACCCTCTCGGGCCTAGCCCGTTATATAAGCTAATAAATTCATAAAATACAATTAAGTAATCTAGGGTAGATTGTATAATAATATATTATTCTATAGAGCTATTCTCTATCTCAATATTATCTATAAATGCTACCCTTTTATCTTTACTAAGCCATGATTTTAGGTATTCAATTGCTTCAATACTTTGAATACCTAGCCGATTTCTTCGATCTGTCACAGTTATCTTACTACTTGAAAATAGACGCTCAGGCTCTACTGACATTGCTGGAATTGATAGAATATCTAATGCTATAATAGAGAGAGCTGGGTATGTCTTTCGTTGAGTTGGTTCAAGCTACCAAGATCGTGCGTCTGAGATCTCCGGGATTATAGGTGCAAGAATATATTTAGTATATTCGTCTTGTGCTGGTAGAATACCTTTCTGTTGCTGTGACCATTGGTGAAAGGAGTTTTGTAATACTCTTGAAGATAAGCTTTGATTTAGAATTGTGATTGCTGTAGATTTGTGTTCCTTTGTCCAGAAATTAAGCATCTATTGTCGACAATTCAATTGCCACTCCTCTGGCTAATTCCTATCAATATACTCCCATTTCTATTGCGGAGATAATACTAAAGTAGTAATATAGACAGGTGATCTTTCTGTCAAGCTATAGTATTTATCTAGCTTTATCCAGCCAGCGTTGCAACAAGAGCTCATAAATACATCATGAGCATACAATTCCTTCTCAGTTTCGAATTTTTTCGAGAAGAAAATCCACTGTTGGTAATATTCGGTCAATAGTTGCATTCTGGCCTTCTGTTGCTAATGTTGCATCATGGAAATAGACTAGAAAATCTTGAAGCTTTTGTAGATCTTGCCAATCCTGTTCTGATAATATATCATTATTATTCTCCTGATATTGAAGGCAAAAGAGATTAATAGCAGTTTTGAGCTTTAATGCAGTATTAATCATCGTATACCAAGAATTCCAGCGTGTAGAATTATCTCGAGTAAGATTCCGATTATTACTGAGTTGCCGGAAGTTTGCTAATCGTTGTGGGCTTCGTTGAATATACACAACAATATTGTGTAGCTTTCCGAGAGGTCCTTTAAGCCGCTATTGTTCCATCTCGAGTTCTTTTGGTGTTATAGACATATCCATAGCCTTGTTACGGACTGACCCGGGCCAGCTGGCAGAAAGGGTGTCTCAAGATAGTGATTAATTCGCTTAAAGAACATCTTCCAAAGTCTTCAGCTCGTGGAAGACTTTATATAAAGACCCTGGATAGGGGTAACAAGCACGTCGCCCGAGTGATTGACAAGGCCCTTACCGGGCCTTGATCGGCCTCTCTCTTCCTAGGTATAGGGTAGCGCTGGCACCCTTCGCGGAATGGGTATCGGGCATAGCCCGATTCTTAACA